AAAAAAAAAAACAACAACAACCAAACTTATGTTTCAAAAGCTTTTCTGTTCACATTATGAGCAGCAAATTGGCTTCCTATTACGGTGCCTCACACAAGTGGAACAATCTGGAGAAGCTTGTAAAATTAGATATGCTAATCCCTTTTAATCAATTGAAATCCCATGTGGGGCACCGAGCAGTGTGAACGCATGTGTTTTCTTTAAACGTCCCTTATGTTGATGTTTTCTTTTGATTTTGCTTTTTATGTTTTTGCTTTCATTGATTGATGTGTATTGTTATCATGGCATTCCTTTAAAGGTGAGCGTGGTCTTGGTGGCCTCTCTTGTTTAATTAAAGGTCACATGACCCCCAAAAACATGTTTTATGATTCACTAATCAAACATCTGCAGGCTCTGCATCATCTCCTTCCTGTGTTTCTGTAAAGTAGGTTGATATTTATTCGCAGCAAGTTCAGCTTCACTTGTATTGACAGCACACTGGGAAGTTTTACAAATATTAAACCTCCGCAGGTGTTTTTTTAATGCTGTAAAGTTACGATTTTTAACATGGAAGTCTTTGGGAATTTACTTGCTTTTGGAATCATTCTCAAATGGAATTAAAGAAACTGCAATTTTTGCCATTTACAAACCCCCAAAACCTGGAATAAATACAAGTCAAGTCAAGTGGTTTTATTGTCATTCCAACCATGTGCAGTGGTACAGTACACAGTGAAACGAGACAGCCTTCCTCCAAGACCATTGTGCTACATATGACATATAACACACAATCAACGCAGAACTACATAAAATGCAATGTACAATGTACAATTACACTACAGTGCAATAGAAATGTGCAAAAGACGGAGAATTGTGCAAAAAGTCACTTGGTGTATAAAGGTGTGTGTGTGTGTGTGTGTGTGTGTGTGATTCTGCACATAAGTGCTTGGTAGTGACATGTATGAAGGTATGCGTGTGTGTGAGAAGGCACTGAATGTACGGTAAATGGACTGGTTTTTATGTAGTGCTTTTCTACTTTTACTGGAGCGCTCTTTGCCTTGTTCACCTATTTACACCCATTCATACAAGCATTTTTTTACACTTTAAGTATATTTTTTATATCAGCATTCTCAAAGTGGACTTTCGTAGCACAGTTCCAGAATTATTTGCCTAATATTTATTGTGTATTTATGCCTTTAAATTGGCATAAATGGCATTCCATATATTGAAACCAATATGTTGTATTTTTATTATTGAGTGCGCTACCAATAACGTGCTTGTTATATAGAACGTATCACATAATAATATCAACACAAAAACTTATTGATATTTAGTCACAGTATGGGCACATCGATGCACGTCTTAGCCAAAATGATGAAAAATCCGAGGTCACAGAGAGTCCCTGAAAGCAGCTCGATCGTCTATTCTCCACCCTAAAGGAAGCCGTGCGACATCCATCAGACTCGCAGGACTCTCAGAGGTACTCTCGAGGTGTCCCCAGCCTGTAGCTCCAACAAATAGCCCGCTGGGACATCACGCTGCGCTCCGGGCAGGCTGCTAATCTGTGCCCGGATTTACCCCTCGAACAGGACTGTGGGAGCGATGCGACGTCTCGGAGGAGGAGGAGGAGACGAACTGGCCAGGCAGAAGCAGACACCTGAGAGGAGGATCTGAGTTTGTTTCTGTAACGTCAAAGAAAGGTGAGTGGCAAAAAGAAAAGAGCGGAATGTTTCCTGCGGGCTCGGCTGGTGCCTGGCGCAGACGCGTGTTTGCTTGTTGGTGTTCGGTGCGTGTTACTTGTCGTGTCCAGCATCGGTAGCAGGCAGGCGGTATGAGTCATAGCCCCGGCGCAGGGCTGCTGGAGGATCTGCTGCGGAGCAAAGTGTCTGCAGCCTCCAGACCAACAGTCTGTTATCAGCCCACTGTACATGCAAAGCGCTGCACCTCTACGCCATTTACGCAAACGACTCTCGTGCATTTTCCTCTTTGGAGTCCGCGTGCACTGTGATCGTAGTTGGAGTCTGCGTGGGTGTTCACGCACGTGCATATAAGTGACGTGATAGCTGCTTCACCTGACAATCAGGTGTCTGAGAGTGAAATTCAGAAATGCTGCGTTAAACTTCAGGTTTGAAGCTGTGCTTCCGGTAAATGCGAAAGATAAAGCGATGTCTTGCACAACGGTGCGGCTCCAACTTTATGGCAACAGTTTGCTTTGAACCTTTCATGTGTGGGGTTTGTTTTGGTTTTTCCACAAAGCAGTGGCCTGCTGAAGCCACCAGAAAGCGAACCACAGTTTAGTGCAGCCTGCAGAGAAGACTCGGTTTCCGAAAGTTTATTTTAATGAATTATTCTTGGCTCTGTGTGATGTCACTTTTGGCTGTAAGCACAGAAACCTCACCCACCTGCTGTTCAAACCTTCTGTTTGCCAGGGGCACTCAGTCAGAGGTAAGGGTGGCCTTAAATGAATATGAGCTAAAGTCAGAAAGCAGAAAGTATAAGATAACCTGGCATTATTTACCTATTAGAATCAACATGGAACAATAGACAGCCATTATTAACTGGAAGGTTATGTGTTTGCATCTCCTCTGTCTCCCTGAAATATTATTTAGAAATGTATTTCTTTAAATCTAATTGTACCATTGTAGCTGAAGAACAACAGTCTCAGCAGGAATCGGTATCAGAAACTTTTATGGGAATTATATCAGCGTGTGATCGACTGGCGACCTCAACTAAAGTGTACTCCTACCTTTGGCCTGCTGCACTGTAATCATGCATGTAGTAAGAAAGTGTCTCAAAGGGATCAAGAGTAGCAAGGTGATGTACAAGTACCAGTCCATTTACCTTTTATCTTCTGTGTAATAAATTTTCTCTTTTTCCATAATGGAATTTAAACATTAAAAGTTAACCTTTTATTATTAAATCCTGTATTTAAACAGGTAAGCTAACTAAGATTGAGATCTCTCTTTTTCAAGAGAGGACTGCATACAAACATACACATGCAACATTCAAAAACTGACACAAAGAGCTGCACAGTTAAGGGACAAATGCATTATACAGACAAATGAAGACCAACTCATACAAGAACAGTTGCAGATAGACAAACGTAAAACCCTACAGAGAATGCAGCTTAATAGCTCTTTGGAGCTTGTTCCATTTATAGGCAGCAATGAATCTGAATCCAGTTTTCCCAAGTTCAGTGTGAACACGAGCTACAGATGATGTTCAAATGTCCTGAAACCTGACATTGTAGGTACTTTATTTAAATTCAGTCAAGGAGTTGAGGTAATAATAATAATAATAATAATAATAATAATGGATTGCATTTATATAGCGCTTTTCGAGGCCCTCAAAGCGCTTTACAATTCCATTATTCATTCACTCTCACATTCACACACTGGTGGAGG